ACTAGTCTGATTTTAAAACGCAAATTCGCAAATTTCTTATCATGATTATAGCTCTACTGATTACATTCTATAACGCATCTGCCACTAATTATAACCTCAAGAAATCCTGTGAATTAGAACAGTGTTTATCCGAATCTGGTTTTAGCTCAAAGTAAGCAATGCAAATTGCAATGTTTTCCAAAAGCTTATGTTTAAATAGATTATGACATACTTTTATAAGATCACTCTCAGTTTTATATCGCGAGTTAGGCCTATCCAATTATTCCTTTTTCTTGTTGTAAATTGATGAATTTCGAAAATAATAATGTCCTTAAAGACTACTAAAATGTGAAGAATAGCTGGGTTTCAAATAAATGTGCAAAACAAACCAAAAGTTGAATATGAAAAAAGAATGTAGGAAAGTAAACCAGAAATACATTCTGCTATCACAGAGAATTGTGAATAGAAGGGGGGAGCAGGATGAGTCAGAAAATTCTGAGTTTGGTATGAGCTGTAATATATCAAACGAGTCAGCGCTGTCTGCACAAAGCTGGCATGCAACTAAAAATCTAAAACGGGAGTCAAAATTGCAGGATCATACGCCAGTGTAGTTGTATAATTAAAAAGGTGTGAATACATCCCTCCATTTTCACACTTTGATTCTATCCTTTTAGAAAGCACAAAGTAGCCAACTAAATCATGAGATTCTTCATTAAGATTTCAAAATTAGATATAAGTAGGATTTTAGCAGTATTTTGATGATTTCTTTCGTAACTGATAGTTTCTCTTTCTGATGATATCCATCACCTGATAAACAAAGGCTCAATATGAATGTATCAGTGTTTAGCTGAGTTTTTAGCACTTCAAGGCAATCTCCCTTTGGCTTCTACTAAGGTCAATTTACGATTTCCTTCCTTCTACTATTTAAGAAGAAAGGAAACGTGCACAAACAGCAAGTTAATAAGAGATTCTTTGAAACCTCGCTTTTATTTTTACTACAAATAAGTCAGTCAGAAAATAAATGATTAGCCACAAACAAATTCAAAAAGCTGTAGCAACAAGAAAAACTAAGTTTTTTACTGCTCGCTTCATCACCTCATGATCAAAAGCGATGCAACAGCTATCCATTTTACTATTTAATATAGCTTTACCGAAAAATAACAGTCGATACAGCGAATTCAGTCACAAGTTCAGATGTATCTTGTCCTGCTTGAAGAGGCAAATGTGTCATGAAGTCATCTGGCCTGTGTAATTTTGCTAAGGATCGTGATACTGCCTGCTGAAGTCGTGAACTTCTTGGGGTCTTTGTTCCAGCCAAGGATTGAATCGGTCGATCAGGAACTAGCATGGAATAATCTGCTGACTTAATATGATGGTCAGTTAACTCAGTGAGATTAATCTTGAATGGAGGCTTTTCGGCCAGCAAACGTTGGCAGAGGAGGCAAACTAGCCTCAAAGGGGCCAATGCGCGCCACCCAGCGACGGCAGCCAATGTAGCCTGGCTGGCAGCCAAATCTCGACGAAGTAGGCGAGAGCAAAGGCCAAGAAGGTCGGCATCTTGCTGGCAGGTGGCAACAAGCCGGGCCACTAAAATATCGGTTTCTGGAGTGAAACGAGGCTGGTCTGAAGCAGCTTCAAGGGAAGGTTCGTAGCCGGCCTGTTAAGTATGAAGGTAAAGTGTATATCGAATATGAGATGTATTCAACCTAGTTCATTTAAGGTGATGAAGGACTGGTAGTAGAATTTTCCAACAAAAGTATGAGTACTGGTAGTCTCGAAACTCTACTTATATAGGAAAATTATGTATATCGTTTATACTTTTATAAAATGTAGAAAAGAGGCAGTAACAAAGAGAATATAGTGAAATAATTAATGGTCATGCAATAGTATTGATAAGGGCGATTACGTTTGAGATGCTATTATGGCGGAAATGAGAATAATTAAGAGATAGATGGAGTGAAAAATGCAAGATAAAATAAAGTTTTTAAGTAAATAATTTTTTTAAGAATGCGCTAAGATGAAGAAGTAAGGTATAGTTTGTATGTTAGATATAAAGACCAAGACGGTATGGATTTTTGTTTGGTCTGTCTCCTTTAGCTGTATAGTGTTGGGTTTATCTATCTTTCGCAACTTGCTCAGAGCGACAAAGAGATTTTGCGGAATTTAATTAGCCCTGAGTCCTCTATCATGATGATTCCAAGCCCGCTTGTCAGTTGTTCCCTGATAAACATTTACTGCCTGGCTGTCTATGAGCCATCGATTCCAGTCCTCGTTTGCACCATACTCGAGGATTTAGAATCGGCGATTCTCATGAATAAACATCTTCTTCTTCCTAAGCTTTAGACCCATTACTAAGTTATCCTCTT